CTCCACTGGTTCCCCATCACTAAACGGGTCGATTTTAAGATCTTCACACTCATTTTCAAATCCCTTTATGCCCTAGCACTTCCCTATCTCTCCAACCTGTTTAGCCCCAACCCACTGCCTCCGCTCGACTGGCTACAGGCTTCTGCATGTCCCCCGTGCCCTCTATTCCACCATTGGTCGCCGCACTTTCAGCCACTACGCCCCGAAACTCTGGAACACTCTTCGTCTATCCCTTCTCCTTGCTCCTTCCTATCTCATTTTCAGGTCACGCCTGAAGACCATCTTATTCAACCATGCTTACGGTCACCTTCCCTGCCCCCAGCTCGGAGTCGTGCTCTGCCACAGTCAAGCTCTCTGGGATGCTATCCTTCATGAGGGACGCTATATAAATGCAAGTTGTTGTTGTGGAATTAAGTTCCACATCTAGACTTCTAAGCTGAAACTCCAATGGAATCCCAAAGGAGAGCTGTGATCAGAGGCGCTGTAATTCAGAGGAGATGCTGAACCAAAGTCCTGCCTGGTTGTTTAGGTGAATCTTGAAGATCCCATAGTACTATATGAAAAGTGAAGGGAGTTCCTGACATTTCATGTCCTGGACAACAATCCCCTAGATAAAATATGATTGCGCACACCATGGCTGTTTGTGGGACATGTGCAAATTGGCTGCTTGGGTTCGCCTACATATACGATCACTACATTTTATAATAAATTCCGGTAAAACACTTTTTGAGACATTAACATGAAAAGATGTTACAATAAAATTTATTAATAATAAGCCTTGCATTTGATATAGTGCTTTTCACGTCTTCTAGGCGTCTCAAGAAGCGCTTCACAGAATATACTGTAAAGTGAATTGACTGTATATTTGTAGGCGAAATGCTGCAGCCAATTGCGCACAGTAGTGTCCCACAAACAGTCGTGGATTGAAGCGATCAATTTATTATTGTTTCTCTTCTTGAGGGATTTTTATCAGGCGTGTGGATTAAGGAAATTTGCCCAAGGTTTTGACCTGCCAGGAATCAAACTCAGATCTCTCGTTTGCGAGGAAAGTGCTCTAACCACTGAGCTACAGGATTCCACAAAGAAATAAGAAATGTATTATACTTTGGATTTCTATAAACACACATGACAATTGTTAGCAATATTATTCATTCTACCTCTCGACAGCTGGTACGCCCACATCAATTTCCTGTGGACATTCTTTTAATGAAACTTTCATGATCTATCTGATTTGATATTTTATTCCCAGCACCTACTACCGTACATTTGCAACAATAGAAGCAATATGCCATCCACCTGCCTGTGATGTCTCCAGCAGCCTCATTCTTAAGTTTCATAGGTCACATATTGGAGGGACAACAAAACCACAATAACAAATTGCATTTTTGTTTAGCACCTTTAACTTCAGGAGAACATCCCAAGGAACTGGACAGTCGAGGGTTTGCATCCGAGCTGGGGTTTAATTCGGGAGGGGTGGGAGCCAAGGAGGGGATGGGAAGAAAAACACACCTATATCAGTAGAACCTTACCATTAGAAGGGAATGTAGTGAAAGCAGAGTATCATGTCTTTGGAGGAGGGAGGGAAAGAGAGAAAAGTGGACAGATAAATAGTAAATTAAAAAGGCTATCAACCAGCAAGTGCTGTAATTGAATCTGTGAAAGATTCTTTCCAGTTAATGAATTGAAAAAAAAAGGTGAAAAAGTTGAAGGCACTGGCCAGGAAAAAAGAACACACTGGTCTAGCCAAGAATATAGCAAGGATATGAGATTAAGGGGTTATTTGATAGGTCAAAAGTTTCCAGTATCAAATTAAGCAGAGGAGTAAAATAAGATCCACTTGAAATACCTATCAAGTGATCGAGTTTCACAGATACATCTCAATATAAAATTGTTCCATTACATTCTTGCCATAATACACAGAAGTAACCTGCACAGAGAGGTGATTCATTGTCAGCAGTCAGCTCTTTTTGCTCTATTGATTTTAAACACTAAAAAAAACATTCATCCTTTGCAGTTAAACTAATACAGTGAGTGTTCAATGAGCTGAGAACTGATATACATGAAGTTTGTTTGTGGGGAAAAAAAAACATTTCTGGAATTTCCATTAACCTTTGGCTTTCTAAAAATGTCTTAACACATACATAGCAGCCTAATTGTAAACAGAAGCTGCTCAACGATTTTATTGTACTTCACTGAATCACAGAAAGAGGCTATAATAATAATAATAATCCTTGCATTTGATATAGCGCTTTTCACATCGGGAGGACGTCCCAAAGCGCTTCACAGAACACACTGTAAAGTGAATTGACTGTATATTTGTGGGCCAACGCGGCAGCCAATTGCGCACAGCAATGTCCCACAAACAGTCGTAGATTGAAAATGACCAATTTATTATTGTTTTGGGTTTTGGAGGGATTATTATTAGGCTCTGTGTGGAGTAAGGAAACTTGCCCAAGGTTTCGCGCTGCCTGGAATTGAACTCAGGTCTCTCGCTTGCAAAGCAAGTGCTCTAACCACTGAGCTACAGGACTCCACCATCTGACTGATTAAGCCGAAGCTGGTGCTTTCTCATCCACTGGAGCAAACGTTCACTCTATTTTGTTCTATCGTGCACCATTTTATATTTTCCCCCTCTGATAATCTAGGCTGACACTCAAATATAGTGCTAAGGTGAGCTGCATTATTGGAATTGCCATCATTCGCATGAGGTGGTAAACTGAAGTCCTATCTACCTGCTCAGGTGGACGTTAAAGATTTCCTGGGATTATTTGAGAAAAAAATGGGAGTTTCTCTCCATGTCCTGACCAACAATCCTCCAGATAAAACTGGACATTTATTTCTTGGTCGTTTGTGAACCAGTGCTGTGTGCAAATAGACTGTCATGTTGACTTACAAAACACAGTCACAACATTTGACAATAAATCCTACAAAGCATTTTGAGGCATCATCCTGTGGTGAACGGAGCTATTTTAAAAGCAAAGGTTATTTATATTCAAATGTTTGTCTAATTCGCTTTTTCATATTGTTATGGTTTCATATTCAACAGCCACATTCCATGTTCTAATAACTCTTCAGTGATAAGGCTCTTACTTCTCCCTCTCAACTCTTCCAGTGGAAAACCTCCATCCTATGTCCCTTCAGGCCAACTTACCTTGTGCAAGGAATAATCTCTTATTATCTATCCTTTCAAAATTTTACATAATTGTGAAATTATCAGAATTGTGAAGGGCGCTATATAAATGCAAGTTGTTGTAGGAGACAAACAGGATAAATATTCTCTGATTGAGAATAGGAACAAATGGTATCCCCAAAAATCAGTGCTGAGGCAGTTTTCAATTCTACGTATAACAGAGGCGAATATATCCACATTTGTAGTGGACTAGAAGCAGGAGAAATTTGAACTGGATTATAAGCAAGCTCTTATGAATGGAGCGCAAAATTGCAAGAGGACAGACAGTTACCCAGCGGCGTATGAAATTCAACATAGCACAGTATAAAATAACATACCTTTCCCCAACAAGACTAAACTCACAGCATTAAAAGCTATTTCACTGTTGCCCAAATTGATCAAAAAGGCTAAAGGAATGCCAGAATTTGTCACTAGAGATAAAGAAATTGATATCGAAAACTGCAGTTATCCAGAGTTTATCTGGAACACAATGTTCAGTTTTTAGAAAAGATATACCAGTTATGAATTAAGTCCAGTAGCAATTCAATAGGATGATACCTGGAATGGACCTATGTTGAGAAAGGCCACAAAATTTGGGATACATTCACTTGCCTAGGCAGCAATGCGAAAGGGCTGTGAAGGTCAATTTGGAAACAAACACCAGGAAGCATGTCTTTATACAAAATGTAATTAACAACTGGAATGTTGTTTGGCAAAGCTTGCCAGACAGTGATATCAATGGCAAGCTATGAGGTTTTTAATCCTCCTGGGAGCAGGGGTGGGAAGGTAAGTGGGGTCATCTTGGAGCTGAACTGCCTCAGGAGACATGCTTGGCAACGGAATGTTGAAATCGAGCCAGTCCTCTGTGGCGGTCTCGGTAGTCCAGGTAGGTCCACAGGTCTAGGGCACTGCTGATGACTGCACAGCCAGCCTGGCAGGACTTAAAGGGCAGCCCTGTCACTCAGGGCAGGGAATCATCCTACTCACCTGTTAGCCCTGCAAGCCAAAACCTTAATAGATTGGGTGGTCCAAGCTGGACAAGCTGCAGGAAAGCTCTCTAGGCAGCAATATCAACAGCAAAGTTATGCTGTTTTAGCTGGTTAGACCCTAACGTACACTCTGGAATTAGGTAAGCAGGATGCATCCCTCTATGGAGAGACTGTGCATTGCATTCCAACAATCTACCTCTGGAATTTCCATGTGTGGGTGGGACGCATGGAATTCTCAATTTGGTTTGGATACTTAAGCATGGTGATAGGTTTCCGCATGTATCAGACACCCAGCTGACCAAAAAAAACCTGGAATGGGTTACAAATAACATTCACTAGACTAATTTAAGAAACAGTTTGATGCTGCCATGAGAAGTTAAGGTGGGTATTCTGGAAGAATTATATCAAATGAGATGAAGAGTCTTCTTTATCTGAAGCTCTTGTGAGCTGAGGATGTTGGATTAAAAGAAAATAAACAAAAGTAGAGAGGCAACAACCTTTCCCTCTTGTAGAGGAGACCAGAAAAGGGGATTATAATTGTAGTAAGAGTTAAAAGGGTTAAAAGTAAATCCGGAAAATATTTGTTCAGAAAAGTGTCAGAAGAATGCACCGGCCCCCTTATAGTCCATAGATGCAGCATCAACTGAGGGAGTTAAGGGGATAAATATCAGGGAAGCAAGGGTATTAAGGGACAGAGAGAAAAGGGAAAACATGATTAGAAAGATAAAGAATTCCGCGGATTTATAAAATGTCAGAATGGCCTCTTCCTTTTCTATTGTTCCTCTAACCTTTGAACACAAAATTAAGAGAAAAAGAGAAGCAACATTCTGTAACTGTATTACCTTGAGTCTGAGCCAAATGAAGAATCTTGGAGGTAATATGACGGGCATTATCGACATCTAGCAATGCCGAATCAGAGTTTGTCTTCTCCAGCTGGGATAGCAGACCAAAGATCCGAGAGTTTCTGAAAACAACACAAAACAAATGCTCAATGGAAAACACAGATACATGAATATCATAACTGATGTATGAATAATCATATTTGACAACAGTAATATTCAGCTGCTGCCTTTAGATATGGTTACTGGTAGCTATCAGTACCAGCGTTCAGCAACAGAATTCACATACAACACTAAGCGTCAACAATCTCTGAAGCATGAACCCCTTCTGTTCAACACCGTCACTAAATTTTAAAAACAAACATGCCTATGTCTGAGGTTTACCGTACATCTCAGTGTTTCCCACGCTGTAGCCCTCCATCCGTAGCAGTTCTGCTGCCCTATCGACAGTGTTATACAGAGGTCGATGGCTTTTTAAAAAGGATGCGTAGCACGCAACTCGATTTGGATGTTCCAACTCCCATCTTTGGGATGAAAGAAAATACCGGGAGAATAAAGCTCGATTTCCACCGGTGTGACATCACAATGTGATCACTGCATCACAAAGCAGCTTCAACTGATGTTCAGTTACAGCGAGAGGTCGACGGAGTGAGTGACAGGTCAACAGAGCAAGGCCCGCCCGCCCGAGGAGCCCACCCGAGGAGCCCGCCCGCCCGAGGAGCCCGCCCGCCCGCCCGAGGAGCCCGAGGAGCCCGCCCGCCCGCCTGAGGAGCCCGAGGAGCCCACCCGAGGAGCCCGCCCGAGGAGCCCGCCCGCCCGCCCGAGGAGCCCGCCCGCCCGCCCGAGGAGCCCGCCCGCCTGAGGAGCCCGAGGAGCCCGCCCACCCGCCCGAGGAGCCCACCCGCCCGAGGAGCCCGAGGAGCCCGCCCGCCCGCCTGAGGAGCCCGAGGAGCCCGCCCACCCGCCCGAGGAGCCCACCCGCCCGAGGAGCCCGCCGCCCGCCCGAGGAGGAAAAATCTATTGGTGAAAGACGGATTATACATCCAACACATCACAAATTAGAAGCAGAATACTTTCGTGTCTGTTTCTCCAACCCATTAAAACTATAGATGGGAGTAGGAAGTTACAAAGGGTCTTATAAGTGAGTGGACAAAGCTGTGGCAGATGGAGTTCAATGTAAGAAAGTATGAGGTCATCCACGAAGGACCGAAAAAAGATAAAGCAGAATATTTTCTTAATGGGGAGAAATTAAGAACTGTGGAGGAGCAAAGGGATTTGGGTGTCCATATCCACAAATCACTAAAACGGGGAGCGGCGGCAGGACAGCGCGGGGAGGAGCCTGGGCCTACCTTCTCAGGTAATAAAGCACGAGGCGGCAGGGAGTTCAGCTAGGGGGGGAAGGGGGCGGTGTGGGGGCGCAGCGGGGGAACCGCTGACGTCATAGTTTAGTTTCAGGAGTGTGCGCGCGCGCAACAAAAAAAAACACACAAACCTCTGCGCCCCCCGGGGCTCGCATCAGGGCCCACCATGGTCCTGTTGGGTTGGCTGCCCCAGCCCCAGCCTATGGGCTAATGCCATCCACCTGACCGCTCGCTCCCGGTCCCCGCATGCGCACTATGGCTGCCGCTCTGACCCGAGCCCCCTCACCCCCTCCCTCCTCCTCTCTCCCCCCAAACCCTCCCCCTTCTGCATCTCTCCTGCTCTGTCCTCCTCTCTCTCCGTCCCTCTCGCCTTCTATCCCCATTTGACCCTCCCACAACCTCCCTCTGCTCCAGCCTGGGAATCCTCCGCCGGGCTCACCGTGGCACTCGGCGTTGGCTGTCCAGCAGCAGCCACACCGACTGCCCCATTCCCCACCACACTCGCCAGCCACCCCAGACACAGACCCGGGGAGTCAACCTCTCCTCCCTCATCCCCATCCCCCCCAACCCTGCCTCACACCCTGGACCCCCCTCCCTCCCCACACGCTCCCTCCACATCGGACTACAAAACGTCCGCTCCCTCTGTAACAAGGCCCTGGTTGGTCATCAACGATCTCATCCTTGATGAGAGCGTTGATATCATGGCCTTAACAGAAACCTGGCTCACCCCAGGCGACACCTTCCCCCTCACGGAGGCCACACCACCCGGCTACACCTCCCACCACATCCCTCGCCCCAACCGCCGTGGCGGTGGTGTAGCCCTTATCTCAAGGACACCACTTGCCCTATCCCCCTACTCCTCTGGCTCTTTCCCCTCTTTCGAGCACCTCACCCTCTCCCACCCCTCCTTCCTCTCACTCAAAATCCTCCTCCTCTACCGGCCCCCTAAAACCTCTCCCACCTTCATCTCCGATATTTCTACACTACTTACATCTCTCTGCCTCTGCTCTGATCGCCTCATCATCCTGGGCGACTTCAACCTGCACTTCACCCCCTCCTGCTCCATCTCCTCGAACTTCTCTTCCCTGTTCTCCTCGCTCAACCTCTCCCTCCACATCAACACCGCCACTCAGTCACGGCCACCCACTCGATTTGGTGATCACCCGGGGCCTCAGTGTCTCGGATGTCACCATTACCGACAAAGCCGTCTCCGATCACCACTTCATCTCTTTCACCACCTCCAACCCCCTCCCCACCTCCACCAGACCCACCACCATCTTCTACCGCCCCTGGAAGAAGTTACCCCCACAATCCCTAACCGCTGCCTTGGAGTCCTCTGAACTCCTCTCCCTCTGGCCTTCAACCCTCACTGACCCCTCTTCTCCTCTCACCCTCCTCCACAACACCCTCTCCTCCACATTCGACACACTTGCCCCCATCACATCCCATACTGTCTCCTACTCTCGCTCCTCCCCCTGGTTCACCACCCACCTCCGCTCACTGAAGAGCCAGGTGCGGGCCGCTGAACGCACCTGCCTAAAATCTGGCCTAATGGTCCACCGACAAATCTGGCTGGACCTCCTCAAAATCTACCGCTCCACTCTAGCCTCGGCCAAGTCGTCCTTCTACTCCAGGATAATCCTGGAGGCGAATAACAATCCCAGGCTTCTGTTTTCTACCACATCCCGACTCCTCCGTCCCCCCGCCACCCCGCGCAGGTCATCTCCTCCAACTTTCACTGCGAGGAGATGCTGGATTTCCTTGAATCCAAAATCAAGGGAATCAGCTCCGCGGTCACTCCCCCTCCAACTTCCACCCAACCCCCCACCCCCTCCCTCCCACACTTCGACTCCTACCCATCCTCCCCTGCACACCTTCATACCCGTTTCCCCACCCTCTGTCACCAAACTCATCCTGTCCCTGAAACCCACCACCTGCTCCCTTGACCCCATCCCCACTCCTCATCTCTCAGCTCCACCTCCTTGCCTCACATATCACAGAAATCATCAACCTGTCCCTCTCCTCTGGCTCTGTTCCCATTCCACTAAAAACTGCCATCATCACTCCCACTTTGAAAAAACCCTCCCTTGATGCGTCGCAGCTATCAAGCTACCGGCCCATCTCCAAACTCCCCTTCCTGTCCAAGGACCTTGAAAGAGTTATCGCCTCCCAGCTGCGCTCTTTCCTCTCCACCCATTCATTATTCGAATCCCTTCAGTTGGGTTTCCGTGCTGCCCATAGCACAAAAACCGCCCTGGTCAAGGTCACCAATGACATCTTGACCATCTGAGACCAGGGCTCCCTCTGCCTCCTCGACCTATCGGCAGCATTCGATACGGTCGACCATGCTATCCTCCTCCACCGCTTGTCCTCCCACCTCAACCTTCAAGGCCCTGTCCTTGAGTGGTTTAGGTCGTAAGTTTAGGTCATTCAGAACTCTGCAGCTCGTGTACTGTCCCGCATCAAGCTTCGCGACCACATCACTCCCACCCTCGCTCGCCTCCACTGGCTTCCCATCCCCCAGAGGATCGAATTCAAGATCCTCATCCTCGCCCACAAAGCCATTCACAGCCTCGCTCCCTCCTACCTCTCCGACCTACTATCCCCCTACCTCTGGCTCCGGTCTGCTCCACATCGCCCGCCCCAACCGCCCTACCATCGGTGGCCGGACCTTCAGCCTCTCAGCCCCGAGGCTCTGGAATTCCATCCCCCAGTGCCTTCGCGCCTCCTCCCTTTCCTCCTTCAAGGCCGGTCTCAAGACCTTTCTCTTTGACCGTGCCTTCAGCTCCCTTCTCGACTCTCTCCCCCCTCCTTGCTCCCTCCCTTCCCTCCCCTCACCCTGACCATTTCCCCCCTGCTCGGGTCCTGACCCAACTGTCCAGCGCTTTGGAACATCCTCCTGACGTGAAAGGGACTCTATAAATGGAATCTTGTTGTTGTAAAAACTAGTTTTCAGGTGGAAAAAGTAATCAAAAAGGTGAATGGAATGTTGGTCTTTATCTCAAGGGACCAGGAATACAAAGGGGAAGAAATGATGCTTCAGCTGTATAGAGCGTTAGTCAGACCCCATCTGGAGTAGTCCGTTCAGTTTGGGGCACCACACCTCAGGAAAGATATATTGGCTCTGGAGGGGTTGCAGTGTAGCTTCACCAGAATGTTACCAGCCTTAAAGGGTTACGTTATGAGGAAAGGCTGCGTAAACCATTGGGTTTAGAAGGTTGAGGGGTGATTTGATTGAGGTGTTTAAGATGATAAAGGGATTTGATAGGGTAGATACAGAGAAGCTATTTCCTCTGGTGGGGGAATCCAATACAAGTGGGAATAGTCTTAAAATTAGAACCAGGCCGTTTAAGAGTGAAATTAGGAAGCATTTTTTCACTCAAAGGGTGGTAGAAATCTGGAATTCTCTCCCCAAAAAGGCTGTGGATGCTGGATCCATCCACACCTTCAAGAGTGAGGTGGATAGATTTTTGGTAGATCAGGGTATTAAAGAATATGGGCAGAAAGCGGGAAATTGGAATTTAAAAGATTAGTTGAGGTACAGATCAGCCATAATCTAATTAAATGGCGGAACAGACCTGAAGGGCTGAATGGCCTCCTTCTAATCCTATGTTCCTATAAATGTAAGCAACAGAGAGAAAAATCAAATATTCCATCAGTGCAGACAAGCAACTAATCAGTGAGGCAGGCAAAAGCTGCACAGGAGAATAGATGAAGCAACTAATTGAGAAAGCTTAGAGGCAAATGGAAGGACAAAGGCACAA